CATAATCCTACACAGTTGCGAGGGCATGATGTAGATAATCAAGCGAGGTACAGAGGGCTTGATGGCTGATCAAAGCCCAAGGGTCCAGCCCGAGGGCCGTAGGCCCAAGGGCTGGGCCCGAGGGCTTTGATCAGTCATCAAGCCCGACTGTACCTCGCTTGAATATGCTTCGGACGATCCCCAACATTTTTTTGGATTTTGAATCAAACTCGCTTCATTCTTTGAGTGATCTCGAGTGTGGAAAATGTCGGCCTTTGTTTGGGATTTCAGAGCAGCCTGAAGTCTAAAGTGCATGTCGTTTTCGTCCCGTTCGTAAGTTTCACACAGAGATTACAGCAAAGGGAAAGTAATGTGAGTGGACGAAAACCTGTTTCGTGAGAAATTTCTCAGGACTACGTGTCAAGAGCCAGACGTGGCTGAAGAGTCACGGAAGTATTTTCACTTCGACCATACACGCCTTGCTCACGCTGCATACCGCTGAGAGTTCTGCGGTGCTGGAGCTAGATTTCCAACTCCATAAGTTTCACACAGAGATTACAGCAAAGGGAAAGTAATGTGAGTGGACGAAAACCTGTTTCGTGAGAAATTTCTCAGGACTACGTGTCAAGAGCCAGACGTGGCTGAAGAGTCACGGAAGTATTTTCACTTCGACCATACACGCCTTGCTCACGCTGCATACTGCTGAGAGTTCTGCGGTGCTGGAGCTAGATTTCCAACTCCATAAGTTGAGAGCCACCGCATCCCCGACCACCACCCCTATCGGTTTCTTGTTCTTATAGCCAGATCACCTTGAAAAGACTGAGATTGGGCATGATCAGGGCTTTGATGGTTTTGTCGTACAGTTGCCAATGGCAGCGGGCTTTGATGGTTTTCTCGTACAGGTTGTCAATGACAGCGGGCTTTGATGGAATATCAAAGCCCGCTCTCCGAGGCTGCTGATTGGTCGTAACCTAGCAAAGGGCACGTGGGTCGTTTGAAGTAGATAATCAAGCGAGGTACAGAGGGCTTGATGGCTGATCAAAGCCCAAGGGTCCAGCCCGAGGGCCGTAGGCCCAAGGGCTGGGCCCGAGGGCTTTGATCAGTCATCAAGCCCGACTGTACCTCGCTTGAATATGCTTCGGACGATCCCCAACATTTTTTTGGATTTTGAATCAAACTCGCTTCATTCTTTGAGTGATCTCGAGTGTGGAAAATGTCGGCCTTTGTTTGGGATTTCAGAGCAGCCTGAAGTCTAAAGTGCATGTCGTTTTCGTCCCGTTCGTAAGTTTCACACAGAGATTACAGCAAAGGGAAAGTAATGTGAGTGGACGAAAACCTGTTTCGTGAGAAATTTCTCAGGACTACGTGTCAAGAGCCAGACGTGGCTGAAGAGTCACGGAAGTATTTTCACTTCGACCATACACGCCTTGCTCACGCTGCATACCGCTGAGAGTTCTGCGGTGCTGGAGCTAGATTTCCAACTCCATAAGTTTCACACAGAGATTACAGCAAAGGGAAAGTAATGTGAGTGGACGAAAACCTGTTTCGTGAGAAATTTCTCAGGACTACGTGTCAAGAGCCAGACGTGGCTGAAGAGTCACGGAAGTATTTTCACTTCGACCATACACGCCTTGCTCACGCTGCATACTGCTGAGAGTTCTGCGGTGCTGGAGCTAGATTTCCAACTCCATAAGTTGAGAGCCACCGCATCCCCGACCACCACCCCTATCGGTTTCTTGTTCTTATAGCCAGATCACCTTGAAAAGACTGAGATTGGGCATGATCAGGGCTTTGATGGTTTTGTCGTACAGTTGCCAATGGCAGCGGGCTTTGATGGTTTTCTCGTACAGGTTGTCAATGACAGCGGGCTTTGATGGAATATCAAAGCCCGCTCTCCGAGGCTGCTGATTGGTCGTAACCTAGCAAAGGGCACGTGGGTCGTTTGAAGCTCTGATCAGGCCCGAGGTCTGTTAGTGATCTTGCCCGAGGTCGCGACGCCCAAGGGGCGTAGCCCCGAGGGCGTCGCGACCGAGGGCAAGATCACTCACATGACCGAGGGCCTGATCAGAGCGGCATGCCCGACGCAACTGTGTAGGATTGCGCTTCAGACAAGGCCCACCTCACAAACAACAAGGCCCAGTACAGTAGAGAGATTCAAACAGAAAGAAAGCCTTGACGGCAAATGAGTTGATGTCACATTGTGTGCAGTGACCATCACAAACAGCTATTTGTTTGGTCGGGACTTTCCAGTTTTGAGATGAAAGTATTCAAGTACAGTGAAGGCAGTAGTAACGTTAGTACCAGTAATATGACGGATTCGGAATAAACCCGACCTTCGAGTTAGATGATTGCCAGAGTAAGGTTCAAATGCGAGTGCTGAGAAGCTGCAGCCTTAGGGCAGGTACAAAATGTACTTGTGGAGGTCTGCTTCCCTTGTGTACGTTTCGCCGCGAGAAACAGGACCGGCTGCAAGGTCGGTTGGCGTTTCTGGTCTCCCTGCAGACGTTCAAGACAGTAGTGAGTATATAATAATTTTGGAGAAGGGAGACAAATTTTTAGTCCTCGTCGGAGATGTTGCCCAAGGCAAGGACTTCGAAAAATGGTAAATGCGCATGTGCGGCGCGATGCTGTACGACTGCTGTTCTTGACCGGCTAAGCGGTCAAGATCGACTGATCTTGACTGCTTATTCTGGCCGCTCATTGGCCGTCTCCTGGCAACAAGCACGTGCCATGTCTGAAATACATAATCCTACACAGTTGCGAGGGCATGATGCTCTGATCAGGCCCGAGGTCTGTGAGTGATCTTGCCCGAGGTCGCGACGCCCAAGGGGCGTAGCCCCGAGGGCGTCGCGACCGAGGGCAAGATCACTCACATGACCGAGGGCCTGATCAGAGCGGCATGCCCGACGCAACTGTGTAGGATTGCGCTTCAGACAAGGCCCACCTCACAAACAACAAGGCCCAGTACAGTAGAGAGATTCAAACAGAAAGAAAGCCTTGACGGCAAATGAGTTGATGTCACATTGTGTGCAGTGACCATCACAAACAGCTACATGTATTTGTTTGGTCGGGACTTTCAAGTTTTGAGATGAAAGTATTCAAGTACAGTGAAGGCAGTAGTAACGTTAGTACCAGTAATATGACGGATTCGGAATAAACCCGACCTTCGAGTTAGATGATTGCCAGAGTAAGGTTCAAATGCGAGTGCTGAGAAGCTGCAGCCTTAGGGCAGGTACAAAATGTACTTGTGGAGGTCTGCTTCCCTTGTGTACGTTTCGCCGCGAGAAACAGGACCGGCTGCAAGGTCGGTTGGCGTTTCTGGTCTCCCTGCAGACGTTCAAGACAGTAGTGAGTATAATAATAATTTTGGAGAAGGGAGACAAATTTTTAGTCCTCGTCGGAGATGTTGCCCAAGGCAAGGACTTCGAAAAATGGTAAATGCGCATGTGCGGCGCGATGCTGTACGACTGCTGTTCTTGACCGGCTAAGCGGTCAAGATCGACTGATCTTGACTGCTTATTCTGGCCGCTCATTGGCCGTCTCCTGGCAACAAGCACGTGCCATGTCTGAAGTACTGTTCATGACTGAACACCGCGTCAGATCGTACATCATTCTCGAGCGACACTACTTCGACAGCCAATCTTCAGGCAGCGACGTTGATCGACCAACCTTGACGTTCGGTGGACTGTCCACCATACTGCAACCGTAGTCCGCCGTGTCTGGTGGTGGTGGTGGTGGTGGGGGATAAAAGCTGCCCACAAAGGTTCAGTTGGTCCGTATGGTGACTGAGGATTCAGCTAAACTTGTCCAAATCAGGGTGGATGACCAGGTTCTACCCCACGGTTGGACCGTTCAGAACGTGGTGTCAGGTACAGCTGCTAGCTGTGCCCGATTGACCCCATATCCTTCAAAAGCATCAAAGCAGTACTACGAGACTCGTACTGATGTTTCCAGTTACTACGGTTTGTGCCTCATTATGAATCTAACTTTAGTTTCGCTTGTGCCAGGCCACCACCATGCCTTACATGTATCCAAGGTGGCAGCGTGAGATGGTAGTTCATGATGGCAGATCTACCACGTTATGGACGGTGAAAGCAATAATTCTTTCGCCATAACTTCATAAGCATGATAAGACTGCAATAAAAAACCACACAATGTCATGATCCAGGACCGTTGCCCATTTTATATTGAACATTATCATGTATTCGTAACTTCGTACGGCATGCTATTATTTTTACATGCAGTCTTTCAGTGCTGTCTGATGCTATGGCGTTTTACTTCGTGGAATCTCTGAGTCACCGTATGATTCCTGTCCTTTCTTTTCTAAAAGTAAAAAGACTAAATGCAGCTTGTCATGATTCGCCTTTACATGTGCATGATGTATATCATTGGGCCTAGTTCTCGTTTATTGTGTGAACTAGGGGATAATGCTCGAAAAGGTGGCAGATTCTGCTCAAAAAGCAGTGAAATTGGCAGAACCATACAAACCTTATGGCGGGCAATTCCTCGAATTCTGCTCCATTTCTTTATCCACATACCAAACATGCATGAAACTTACCAGAAAAAGTACCGAATTCTGCCAATTTTTCTGCCGCCATTATCCGCATATCAGTGCCTAGTGTGAACCAACCAACGAACCAACCAGCCACCACGCACCACTGTCATCATCATGATCATGGTCACCTGGTCACAGCTAAACAGCTTTTGTTATCCTTCGTAGGAGTAGAGTCCATAGCCTAAGCATAATGCCAGGATGTAGACTCCACAAATGCAATGATGACGTTTTTTTGTAGAGGGGTCTCCTGACTCTGTACTGACATGGTGATGCCAATGTTTCGTGTAATAGTTGAAGTGACAGTTATGACCATACATGTATGTCTGCTGTGCTGTCAAAATGTATTTTTTTCAATTTTTCTCTGTGTGCTGCGACGACCGGGATGGTACCTGCAGCTCCACGCCACACAGACTACCATGGACTAGTACTAGTACTAGCAAGAGTCCATAACCAAAATTGATGGGTTATGGACTCTTGGTACTAGTACTACCGTAGTCTGTACTGTAGCAACAACAGTCCAAGTCATTGCCATGCTGCCAATGCGTAGCGAGTTTCATTTGACGGTGAAAATTCCTTGACTTCGGAAGCCGCAAAGCCAATCCACAGGAACGACGTTCGAAGGAGCTAGAGCTCAAACCAGTGGATCGGTCTGTCATGCAGAGGATCGTTACGGTGCTAGACCAGCTACCGTAGCGATGAGCCAACTTCTACCTGACCTGGCCATACAACAATTATTTGCCCAATAGAAATACTAGTGTCAGAGGGCAGGTTCTGCTGCAGCTATGTCCAATAGGAGAAGTCCGGCCCTGGTGGCCCTCACCCTGCTGCTCGCGTTCAAAGTCATGCCCTGCCTTGGTGTCGGTAAGATAGTACTTTGTGCCTAGCGCTTTTGGCTTTGCGTTTCGCCAGAACAGTGAAAAATCCATTCACGCACTGAGTGCAGTACAAATACTTGACACTAGCTGGACAGGCTCTTACGCATGTCCAAATCACTGCACAGTCATTTAATTGATGCACACAGAATCTATAATTATTATGCAGTTATCTTGGCAGGATGCCCGGTGCGGAATGCAGCTCATGAAGTACTTGAGAAGCATATCAAGTTCCAAAGCAATGAATGCGATTGCGAGAGGGGCGGGTGCTTTGAAACAGGTAGCTGGTTTCTTGTGAATTGCAATACCGACCCGACGCACTGTGATTGCAGGTAAAAGCCTAGTAAGTGAAGCAGTGTTATGCTCTATTTGTGTTTTGGATGCAGTACCAGTCCTTCCGCCGACTTTCAAGCCGCTGCCCTTCTGCGAGTTTCACACGGAGCAAAACGAGGGGGTTCTCTCGCTGCTCCACTATCACACAATGACAAACTGCACGTGGACGGTGGCTGCATCACCGCATCACATCATCAGACTGAACCTGCGCTATGCACTGCGCTTGACCAACATGGATTCGATCACCCTGTACGACGGTCCGCTCATTTCCTCCAAGAAGCTCTACACTTTCCACCAGTTGTCGCCGGACACGGACTCGTTCCAGCACGAGATCATCGCCACCACCGGGCCCTACCTGACTCTACAGCTAGCTGCAATGGGACCCAGAAACTCCGGCACTGGACGTGGCTTTGTAGGAATGTACACAGGTAAACTCAAACCCACGACACGACCGAGATTAGGAATATTCAACTGCTTTGTGTTCACCCCTCATGAAGCATCGCCTATGTACATGTATGGCGTATAGTTTTCCAGCCAAGTGACTTCACACATGCACCGTGTATGCATTGCGCTCAACAGACAGTAAGAAGAGAGTATTATATCATTGTCCAGTTGCTGGTTGGTGTGTGCATTGTTGTTGTTGTTGCTAGCTGTTCCGAGATGCCTTGCTGGAGAAGAACTCACCACGCCGGGCTCGATCACCTCACCTCTCAGACTCACGCCGGACTTCCGCCTGATCTACATCAAAAACGCTGAATGTACCTGGCGAATACGTGCACCTGAGGGCATGCGCGTGCGTGTGAATGTCGAGACCATTGACCTGGAAGAGTCACCGCAGTGTCAAAACGATTACCTTGTGTTTACAAATTACCGGCCATCCCCGGGTCTTCCACCCAGTTTCTACAGCTTTACAGAATCCCTACCGGAGGCCTCCCTGGCCGATGTTCCGACGATGAGCCGGTTTTGTGGCAACTCCCTCGTCAATGCATCCATTACCTCGTCTGGAAACACTCTGGGAATCGTGTTTCACTCCGACTACCTGGTTGAGAAGTCTGGATTCACATTGACTTATGACTTTGTACCCGGTAAGGATATACCAATAGCACAGTACTGTCAGGCGCCGAAGAACTGGGGCGGCGGGGGGGGAGGCAGGGTGCTAGCCAAGCACATTCTTATGTTTAGCGAACACAGCAGTTTCGTTCGTGTCCGATGGTACACGTACATTTACGCCGAGTTATACGTCTGAGTGTACATTATAGAGTACACTATGATTTCCGTTCTTATCTGCAACAAATCCAGCCTACACCATTCTTAAACAATTGTGAAATTCTAGCCTGGTCGTTCTTTGGCGGTCCATTCTTCGGCGCCCGACAGTACTGCAAGGCCAGTGCATGTAGTGCTAGCATAATTATGAAATTGTGTCAGTAAACTGTTTATGCACGTTTTGCAATCTGTGGTTGTGTGTCAAACTAGTGCATGTCTAGATTAGCAGATGTGTGATTTCGAACTACCGGTACAGATAGCCCTGGCTGGTGTCAATGCCTGCCTGTGGAACTGGCCTGTTGTAGTCTTTGAATTCAGGTGGCATTTGATATCAGTGTGATCCTGCATATTACACACAGTCAGTGTCACAGTAGGTCCTTCAAAGCAGGTGGTCCTTCAAAGGATATGCTCCTTCAAAGCAGGTGGTCCTTCAAAGCAGGTGGTACATGAAAGCACTTGGCCACTTGGCGAAGTTATGTGCATCGTATTTGCAGAATCAAAACCCACTTGATCTCTCTGAGCCTACCAAATACAGGATACCATGCGTGCCAGAGATTCTGAAGGCACGAGGCAGTGACAAGATGTGGGCAGTCTCGTCCAGTGTGCACATAATAACAACAACGTTATACTGTACTTAAACACACGGCGAGGAGACAATAATTTGATAACCGCATTTGATAACCGCAATCAATAAAACTTAATGTTCTAGGTGTAATGTACTGCTGTTATGTGTTATCACGTTGTCTTTCCTTCCTTTCTCCTTTGTTCATTTCTCGCTTTGATTGTTAAAATCCACACTTGTAAATTTCACTGTTGTTGCTCTTAGTGTTATTTCTCTAACTTAGATTTTCTATAATAGTTCAATTTTTGTTTCAGTGTCCTTTAGTACAACGACGATTCCTGATGAGTGTTGTACGAAAACTTGTTTGAATCCATTTTTTTCCCTACACCATTTCTTCATATTTTCATCGTTTTATTGCACATCGTCTCCACCGTTTTTACATTGCATGAATAAAGTACACAAATGTCGGTTCAGCTACAGTCCATTCAGAAAAAAATGAACTTCTAGCTTTTGGCCATAAATGGGTCAAACGTTGAGTTTTTTTAGAATTTTTTCTGTAATCCCATTGGAATCCTCTTCCAATTATGTTTCTGAAGTTTTTTTGTCCAAAAAGCAAGCCATAGCAAGAATAGGATTTCGGCCAGGTTTTGCCCCAAAAGCACTGAATTGGGAAAAACCATCAAAATCCAGGCCGTTTGACCCCGCCTGCAACAGTGCATTCTGCGGTTCGAACCCCAGTTCAGGCACCCTTTTTGGACCCTTTTTCAAATTTCAAAGTTCGCAGCACTGCACTGTGTACGATGAAATCACGAAAAATCGCCAAATACGGGAGCTCGCCAGAGCCAGGACCCATCTTTTTATGAATGGACTGTAGTTGTATTGATTGCGGTTATCAAGCTATACTGTACGTCAATTCTATTTCAGAGCCGTTTTGATTTTGTAAAGCTCTACAACCAAAGTATTGTACGAATTTCATTGCCACCTGAGTTTGTCGCCGATGCTACTATTCCAGTGCTTTCCGTCAGTTACAATGCCATCACTTAAAGTTGGGTGACTATCAAAAGTACTCTCTCTCTCTCTCTCTCTCTCTCTCTCTCTCTCTCTCTCTCTCTCTCTCTCTCTCTCTCTCTCTCTCTCTCTTTAGCAGATTTTCACAGCACATAACAAGATCCAATAGGTTATAGTGGCACACAGTCCACAGTGCCCACCAGAGATTTGTACCCATAGCAGGGTTGCGTACAACGAATCCGGTGTTAGCAGCGGGACTGAGTCTACATCCATTCGTAACCATTCATCACGGTATAGTCGTGACTGCTGTTTTGGCCCAAAATTGACAGTTGATCACTGTGCTGTTGTGCCTGTCACCCCCTTCACCAGGCTGTGGAGTGGGCATGTTTGAATGCCACAACAATGGGCAGTGTCTGTCACCGCACAAGCATTGCGACGGCAAGGTAGACTGCAGTGATGGCAGTGACGAGGAGTCCTGTGGTGAGTGGTCGACCTCGAGTGGGTTCAATGCATAGCCAGGTTGGGCGTGCGTGTGTGTGTTTGTGTGTATGTGTGTGTGTGTGTGTTTGTGTGTGTTTGTGTGTGTATGTGTGTGTATGTGTGTGTCTGTGTGTATGTGTGTGTCTGTGTGTATGTGTGTGTATGTGTGTATGCGTATGTGTATGTGTGTATGTGTGTGTATGTGTGTGTGTGGTGGGGGGGGGGGTGTTTATGTATATTTCTTTTGCATCTCTCTCCCCTCGTCGGGATAGACTCCGGGACCGTGGTGCACATTACGCAAGACGATGGCTGCCAAGTACTAGACAGTGTATGATACGGTCATTCCAGGATATCCTACCATCAGGTATTCATCGCCCAGAACTGAAGCGACCTGTTTTGATGTCCCATGGGGTTCCACGGATAGAGTGAGATGGCCATTGTGGTGTGGATAGTGGTGCGTGAGGAGACTAAGGGGAAGGGGGGGGGGGGGGGGGATGGACAAGGCACATACACGTACATGCGGTTGGTATATGGACTGGCTACAGTGTTTTGGGCCACTGGAGTAAATCTCGAAGCACCTGATGCTATCAAGTTTTAGGTCTCGGATCCTTGGTTTGATGGCTACACTCGGTAGTGTCTAGGTTGATAGGCTTTTACATTTCCAACACAGAATTAGTACATTGCTGACTTGTGTATCCCAAGGCGCGAAAAGGTACTTCGAAGTACATGTAGGTGAAGGTGTCCTCGCACATAACTGCATTACTTAACATGTGCCATAGTGGCAAGTAAAAATTGACCCCAGGAGCATCTGTTGCGCGTACATCACACGATACACCTGACTTCCATGCATAGAGCAAAGCTCGCACACAGCAGGCAAATACATGCTTGTAAGTTGTTGAGCCTTGGGAAGGCTTTGGGGCAGGATTTCCTTGGCTGGCACCACTGCACACATATTTGTCCAATGAGTTCACATCTCGGTCTTCGATTGTGCTGTGTGAGTGATAGCAAGACTGACGGGCCCTTAACTTTGAAGACCGCAATGTACAACTGCAAACCAAGAGTGTATTATGCTCGATAATATTTGTAGTACCATGAGTACGTTTATGTGTTACCAGTATTTTCTGGAGTGTATAAGCCGCACTGGAGTACGAGGCACACCCAGGCATTTTTGTCGCAAAATACAGACGTCTACCATGTACTTCATGGTTTATTTGACTATCGCAGTATAAGCCGCAGCGACCGGTTTTTTTTGGTAAATTACGAGTGTTTTACGTGCGGCATATACTCAAGAAAATATGGTATGCACTGCTGGTGCTACGTGAATAACGTTTTCATCCAAAACTTGTTTATATGATTGCCGATTTGGTCCTAAAGCGTGTCCACCTTTCCTAATGAGTTTTTTTTTTTATCGGAACTGGCTGAACATGTTGATTAATTTGATATAAATTGAGCACGAAATCTTAGTCAGGAATATAGCTAACTTCACGCTCTTTACAAGCAGCACTTTCAAAAGTTTTGTCATAAGTGTACTATGATGCCTTCTCATCAGGTGGAGTATAGGCGAAAAAGGTATGCTTATGGAAAACCTTTAGAAATTGTTGATTGTAACTTAGAGAGCCTAGGTCAGTTTGTTCTTTGCCTAAGTGCAATTGAGTAGTTGTCTCCGAAATATTTCAAGTTTTGTTCAATCGTGATTTGCAGAATAAACTCTTCGAAGTACTCACAGACTTCACTGCAGCTATGTAAACATCAGGGTACCTCAGAACAGTTCGAATCATGATGTGTGCAGTAAAGAGACTGTGTTTTGAGTGTTTGAGTTGAGATATCCGGATGTGATTTACAGTGTATCAAATGTATGCATGTCAAGCTTTTCAGAGATCTATGTCCATCCACACCTATCCCTATGCAGTGGTGTCAAAGCGTTTTTTTGTTGTTGTTGTTGTTGCTTCACAATTGCTGTGATTTGACGCGTGTGTATCTTGTGCAGTGTGTGATACTGGCACACAGTTCACTTGCACAAGTAACATATCAGAATGCGTTCCAAGGAACATGGTCTGCCTAAACACGACCGCTCTGTGCTCTGATGGATCCGATGCCGTTTCCTGTGGTGAGTTCTGGTTCGTCTATTCCCGCGTATAGGCATTTGTTGTTGAATTTGGATGCATATCTACCATACATGGTTGCCTCACACATATCTGTGCTTGTGACTTGTTGTGCTATGGATGTGTACTACCAAGTACTAAGAACTCAGATGGTGAGCCAAGGAAAAAATTTGTAACATGGAAATTGTGGGCACAATTGTCAGTTCTGTGCTAGATTGTGCACGTCTGACTGTTCAAAATCTGGTTTAGTTGGTGGACTCGATCGCATAACTTGTGCCCACAATTTCCATGTTACAAATACCAAGTACATGTACGTATGTGTACAGGGCTGGTATCATTACTATAGAACTCCCCGTAACCAAGCATTTTGGGACCGGAAATGGCATGGAACTAAGTATCGCCAGTTACCCACAGCATTGGGACTGTTTGCATGCAGGGCAACATATTTCCAGTCAACATTTTGGTGCTGTTATTCATTCTAAAACACGCTGACATTTTTTGACTCAAGGCCAATGGTTGTGCCCGGATCTGGGGAGTCCTTGTATGATAGCATTTACCGTACCTGTATCCTTGGGAACTTGGCGTTGTCCTTATCCAAGGAGGTTTGACCCCCCCCCCCCCCGGTACACTGTACGGGTGCTGTATGTACAATATACATATTATGTAAAGTAGAGCCATGAGCCCTAGTGTACGCACATCAACGAACGGTACACCTCCACATCTGGACACATTTTTTTCATCATTGAGTTCCCGATTGGGATGAAAATGCAATTGGAAATCAGGACACCCATGTCTGAAGTACTTCATGATATTGATATCAAACAACTGAACAATCATGCACCTTTTTCGCCCAACCAGAATTGGATTGCATTTGTGGTTGTACTTCATAGTACATGTACATGGAAATGATTTTCCAGTTGGATCGAGACAGGGTTTCAGGCAGTGATGCCTTTCTGTCTATGACAGTGCGTGTTCTGCATATTCAAGTCGACTGCATTGACTTTCTGCTCTCTGTGTTCTGTTCTCATGCACCCTTCGCTCCGCTGTCTCACTCGCCTCAACTATAGACGATGATGGTAAGCAAGCGGTGGTTTGCGGAGTGGGGAAATGAATGGTATTGTCTTGGCAAGTAGTGATCTCAGCCAGTAGCCCTAGGGCCATCAGGGTTCCAGAGAACAAGAGCAAGCGCTAGAGTTTGGCATGCAGAATATTCTTGTAATACAGTGGCTTGATTCGATACTGTGGCCATACGTGTATTGTATGGTGATCATAGTGTTTCATTCGTGTAAGCGCCGTGTACTAGTATACAACGAGAAGCTAAGTACTGAGTGTAATAGCGAGAAGAAGTCGGCTATGAAGGTAGAATGCATTGCAAAATAGCAGTAGTACTGTACCTAGGTGGTAACTAGTTGGCACCAGTACCAAGGAGCAAGAATCATTTCTGATACTTGTATAATTATCCGTCAGACGGTCAGCAAGACATTGCATAATAAATACACACTCCATTAGGATAATGGTGTCTCCAGTATGACAGGGATGACTGATGCTTTCAGCGCGTGCACGGTGCTGCCATAGGCATGTCTGTACCCCTGTCTAACTTTCATGTCTGTGACGCTGTGCATCCTTGTAGTGTGCATCGGTAGGGATCTGCCATTGTTCAACCTAAACCAGACCGTGGTCGCCATTGCGCCGCCATCCTGGATTAAGACCTGTCTCAGCGACATTCCACTCGGCAAGGGAGAGCAGATCTTCACACTGGAGATCATGAAAAACAGGTATGGCAAGAAGTGTGATCAGGCACCATCACAGAAAATAATGCCAAAATGGTTAAGTCTTACCAAGTTGCACTGGAGTATAGGCCGCACCCAGATTATTTGTCACGAAATCCAGACATCTACCTTGTATATCTCAACGTTCATTTGACCATTGTAGTATCGGTGTGCTGCCGAGGTTAGCACTTCCGAATAATAGAAGCAGGTCTGTTGTTGAGTTTAACGCAAGGCGTTAAATTGCATGAGAGAGAGATGCCCTTGTTTTGCTACTGGTGACAATCAGCAGGTAGCAAGCAAAGTGCTCACATACGGGAATAGATTGCAGGTTGGACATGCTGCAAACTTCATGTATTGCTACCATGGTTAAGCAGTGATATGCATTGATCAGGAATTTTGCAAAGTGGTAGCCAGGGTCAGATAACTGTTACCACCAGGTATCTGTCACATGTGATGATATAATGATATGCTGGTATCTTATTAACTTAAGAGCATGTTGGACTGCTGTATCGATGTGGGACTATCAGATTTTCTGTTTTCATGCGTACATTTGTATGTATGTGCCTCCTTTTCTCTGTGCTGCGCTGATGAGTCCGAAAAGGACGGAAACCGTTCTGTCCACAGATTGAGCTTGTACGTATGTATGTTTCTATCGCAGCCTGGTCAACATGTACTCGTACAAAGATTTGGTCGTGGACAGCTCGAAAGCTGCCAACCCAGACAGCCAGCTCTCAAGGCGGTTCTCATTTGACCAGTACAACATCAGCGTGGACATGGATGCACGCCTCACAGCCATGGAGCTGAAGCCGTACAAAGACATGTTCAGCTTTCACAGCGATCTGATGCTGCTGTTCAACGAGCTGAAGGACGCGCACACCACATACAGTGCACCGTTTACCCCACTGAGGATCTACTTGCCCGTCTGGTTTAATACGAAGCTGCTGCTGGACAGCGGGAAGCAGATTGTCGTCGTGAGCGAAGTGGACGGACGCCTTGCTCATCTGCACAATACAATCTACGGCGCTCTGACACCAGGTCTCTTCAGCCTTGAAGGCAAGGAGATCATGATGATTGACGAGAGGCCGGCCATGCAAGTGCTACAAGTGAGTGGCTCCACACGTAGATTAACTCACTAGATACCAATGCTGTAGACAGCAAGCTGTTTCGGCTATCTAGGCCCCATCAGTACAGCTACGAGCTTTAAGTAAGCTGAGCTACCGGCCATGGTGCAAAGGCGGCACCACAGGTACTAAGATAACTCATTAACCGATGGACTCACTAGATATCAATCACGCCATACAGCCATCCGCTCCTGCTCCCCGGTGCTCACATAATTCTTGTCTAGGTTGTGTTATGAGCACACTAAGCTCTCCCACTACCTTGCATGTGGAGGGCAATGACAGCAAATTTCAAGAGATCATGCATGGCAGGGGCAGATCCAGGAGGGGTTCCAGGGATTCCGCGGAACCCCCTAAATTTCGTAAAATTAATGTACTACTGGTAACCATATGCGTGTACATGTACATGTATCAGCTATTCAGTTTTGACTATACTGGAACCCCCCTCCCGTAGAGATCGCTGGATCCGCCACCGCATGGTTGCATGCTCTGTACGGGTGTGCAATGCCAGACCACTGCTCATGATTACATTGAAAGCGATGGTTAAAGACATTGTGAACCCATCCCAGTCCTCACCAGTCCACTAGGAGGACTTTGTCTTAGCTCAGGGTATGTGGGCCATCTGACTCATTAGTATATCCGGGACTCGATCAATATTGCCAGCAAACAATGCAAAACTACTGTGTGTGTATACCAGGCATATAGGGCATAGACTAGCCAGGAGCCACAGTGTAACATTATGCACCCCAACCCACACCCCTACAGTTTGGCATGATCATCACATGTGTTTGATTGTAGTGAAAGATTGTCAGTTGGCTGGAGCATGTGCTGAGCTGTAATGCACGTGAACCGTACAAGCACATGCTAGTTATCAACTCACTTGACTCGGCTGGTCATGTCCAGGAATGGGCCCAAAGCTGGCCGGATTTCAAGAGCAACTCGGTGCGGCT